CAGGTGTAGAAATGATGATGTGCCCAGACGTTTGGTCCAGCCTGGTTTCATGTAATTCCTTGATGGATGGTGGCTGACAGCAGTGAAAACAGGCTGTCAGAGATTGTGCTTGGAACAGGAAGAGGTGGAAATGTGTCAGACTGATGCTCCTGGGATAGAATCCGAATGTTATTTCATTCACTCCAAGCAGCACAGCAAGGGCAGACCCACGTCAGATCCTGCTGATTTTCTACTCAATATGGCGTAGAAATGACGATGCCCAAAAGCTTGAATAGTTTAATTGGGTTTGCATTTTAATTAGTGTGTAAATACACAATGTGAAATTCAAACCTTTAATAAAAGGGCTAGGTTGTTTGGCCTCATTGTAACATGTAGTGGTAATCCATACTCCCTCTGACATGTGCTGTAGTTTGTTTATAAAAGGTGGCAGAGGCAGTGGGTAATGCTGAGTGCACACTTGTCAGTTTGATAGATGGATGGGTGGCCAGAGGAACAATTGATCGGGCGAAAAAGAACAAGAGGAAACATGAGGAGCCCATATCTACATTTCGACATTAAATCCTTAATATAACCAATAAAACATCGCAATATCAAACAAACAAAAATACCCCCCAAAAATCTGCACTGTTAATAAAATGTAAATTATTTTATCAGGTAAACAAACACTAAAAATTTGATTGATGTGCAGATGTTTCATTCTGTAGTATTACAGACACAACATGTCACTAAGAGGCTTTTTATTTAGCAGACTGTATTGGCTGTGACTAAATTAATCAGAACTCGCCATGAGTAATAACATACATGTCACGAGTGCCTGTTCCCTGCAGCATGAGTCATTCTGGTCCCCCGTTTCATTTTGAATGAATCAGATCAACTCGACCCTTTACTGGCCCTCAAAGCATTAATTTTATACCTGACATGAATCAGATTCTATCTATGGTTTTTATTGTTTGTTTGCTTTGATATCCATTAGCAGTTGTCTAGTAATGCTGATATAAAACATGCATAGTGATATGAAAGCACTCACACCCAAGTCTCACTATTGGCTATGAATGCATACAGTAAAACATTAGGCAGAACTACAGAACTCTGACACAGACAATCTCTAAAAACTACAGTGTTGTGCAAAAGTCTTGAGCCACCTCTCATTTCCTTATATTTTGCTAGGAAGTTTTGACATAGGTTTATTGAAACAGTTTGCACAACTCTAACGACCTTGCAAGTCAATACTTTGTTTGACCACCCTTTATTCCTCAACACAGCCTGAACTCTCTTAGACAAGCTTTGTTGTAATTTCTTTAAGAGGTTTTCAGGAGTGATTCTCCAGTCTTACTGAGGAATATATCAAAAAGCTATTATTTGTAAGTTGCCTGCTTTTTGTTCTGTTCTATGTCAAGATGATCCCACATTGCTTCTATAATGTTTAGGTCTGAAGTGCTGGGGAAGCTAGTCCATGACTGATAATGTTCCATTGTGTATTTTTTTTTTCTATCTAGGTATGCTTTTACTGCATTGGCAGTGTGTTTGGGAAAACGGGGATCAATTCTGACAAGCTCCCCAACAGCACTGGCTGAATGCAGTCCCAAACAATGACAGAGTCTTCGGCGTGTTTTTTTACAGATGGTTGTAGATGGCAGATTAGCTTGGGTAAAAGACTGAAAGTTGAGGCACACAACAATATGTGTTGCTGGTAAAGTTTCTGTGCTGCCTTTCCTCATAACAGCCATCCCTCAAGAGTCTCTCCATTTACAGCAATGCATTATTAGGGACTGTAACATCTAGTCCTTTTTACTGAATGATGCTCACTCTTGTGCCTCTTTCCTGATATCCTCTGTACATATTAATAATAATGTGAACCATAAATGTAAAATTTTCATCACTCCATGAGACCAGTTGCCACTTTTTACAATTCACGGGCGATCGTGGCTCAAGAGTTGGGAGTTCGCCTTGGTTGCCGGTTCGAGCCCCGGCTTGGACAGTCTCGGTCATTGTGTCCTTGGGCAAGACACTTCACCCGTTGCCTACTGGTGGTGGTCAGAGGGCCTGGTGGCGCCAGTGTCTGGCAGCCTCG